GTGTAACAGTTAATCTGAACTAAAGACTTAGTTCAGATTAATTTCTGACTGCTGCATGTAGCCGCGGGCAGTCAGTTTGAACTAAGGGGATTTAAAAATGGCGCCCGCCCGGGAACATGCAAATGAAGTCCAGGATATTTAAATCCCGGGCTTCATTTGCGAATTCGAATGCCTACATTAGCCACTCTAGTTCAAACTAGGGGGCTAGTGTAGACATACCCTCACGGTCTTGGAGGCATAAGCCACAGGTCAGAGACCTGTCCCATGATTCTGGCTTAGTATCCCAGAGATGTCATCACTAAAGCTAAAATTAGTGTCTTGTTCTTTGTATTTAAGAGCACGGAGGACTGACGTTGACGGACAGGGTTCACCTCACAGGCCACACCATGTATCCGATAAGATCAAATCTATAATTATGTGACACTTATCATTAGAGCTGCCTTAAATGTTTTCCTTCAGAAAATGTCAATTTTTCTCCAAAACCAAAACAGTTCATGAAAATGTGTTGATATAAAAAAAATTATAGAACATTTTAAAGCATTTCAGTAAGGTTGAAACACTCCTTTTCTGTGTGGAATGATTTAATTCTCCATTTTGAAATGATGTTTCCATTTTTAATGTTATGCGCAGTAAAACTTTTAAACCGTCAGCGTCAGAATGAAATGTTTTGATTTTATCCAAACAAAATATTTCAATTGGCAGATTTTTTTTTTATTTTGGTCCATGGGAAATTCTGAATATTTTAAAAAATGTTCGGTCCATTTCACAACAGAACATTTTTTTTAAATTGCAGATTATCAATCAAAACAAGTTTGCATTTAGCTTGTCTCACCTTAGCATCTGAGCTCCTCCCAAATCCACAAATAGCCCAGGGCCTGCCTACTTAACTCCCAGGCAGTCAGGCAAATTGATATCTCTCATGCTACCTTGCCCAATCTCTCTTTGCATGATAATTACAAACAATAGACACAAATTATATGGAGTACCCTATTTGGACTTTGGGTGAAGACCCTGGCTCACAGTAGGCGCCTACACACTGTACTAGCCCTGGACCTGTTATATTCTGCTTCCCTCTCAGAGCTGAGTCCCACAGGCCAGTACAGAGAAAACCTGGGGGCTGAGCTCAGGGATTGTAATTGTCCTTGGCCCTTGCAAAGGATATGCAATGTGAGGGAAGGTTGTTAGTATCTTTTCTCTATCCTTGCCATGCAGAGGCCAGGGAAAAGCTGGGTCAGTTAGCAAGTAACAAAGAATATCGGGCATAATTTTGTAGTTCTTCCCCACTTTTTGCAGAAACCATGCTGTGTTTGCCAGTCTACAAGACCAAGTCCAGTAGGTGTATCGCATACATTGTGGAATTTTTCCATTTCCCTTAGTAACCACTGAAAAATTCAACTTCACTTCTTCAGTCTTTTCCTCTTTTGCTGATACTGGAGCTGCTCCATCTTTCCTGCTGGTGATGACAGGTTGAAAAGTCATCATGAGCAACATCTGAGTAACACTAATATGTGTCAATAAAACAGCCTGGTTCTATTATATCTAATCTACCGAGGAATTTATCACCACAATATCTGAAAGCCTGTCAAAAATTAGCAAAGTAGCCACAGGCAAAAATATCCATGGTTACAGATGCTCTTAAAAGTCACACACAAATTTCTATGTGGAACAAAAATTCGGTGAGCTCTTATGCTTATATTGCATTTTGATAATGTCAAGGGCTAGTGTTATTGTTTTGTAACAATGAAGCTGTGGAGCAGACATATTAAGTTCTCTCTTCCCTCCCACTTACAGACCACTGGCCATTTCTGAACTGGACTTTGTAGGTTATTGAACTGTCAATAGAGTGTATGCCTGAATGCTCATCTAAACTACGTCTACGCTGCATATTTATTTTGGAATACAGTATTCTGGAAGAGATAATCTGGAATAGTTTATTTCAAAATAGCGCATCTACACACAAAACTACCATCAAAATAGTGCTTGGCTATTTTAAAATAGTGATTAGATGCTGAATCGCATTTAAGACTACCCAGAACTACTTCAGGCAGGACATCAGATCAGTAGTTACTTCGTGTGGCTGCTGCTTGAGGCTATCTGAGGCTCGTGCTTAAAGGGACCCCCCTGGACAGCTGTTTCTCAGGTTTTCCTGCTTGCTTGCCTACCTCTCTGAACTCTGTGGGTGTGGCTCCTGCAGCTGGATCCCACCTGCTCTTCCCTGGACACCATGCCTCGCTGCCTCTGGCGTCTGGATACCAGTACAGACTGGAGAGAGCACATTGTTTTGGAGCACTGGGGAGACCAGCAATGGCTCCAGAATGAGAAAGGACACCTCATGGAGCTCTGTGAGTGGCTTACCCTTGCCCTGAGGCGACGGATCATGCACATGAGACCCACCATCCCCTCCAGAAGCATGTTGCCTTCGCCTCCTGGGAAGCTCGCCACACCAAACAGCTACCAATCCGTGGGGAACCAGTTCGGCATGGGGAGATCAACCATCAGAGCCCTGGTTGTGCAGGTCTGACATTCTCGGACTATTGTCCCAGGAGGGGGATGGAAGGAAGGAATGGGCTTCCCTAGGGAAAAGGGGGGTGGAGTTGGGGGTGATGCAAGCCCCCTCCCCGGGAGGATTTTTTCAGTCTTGCCCTCACAAAGCCCTGCCAGGGGTTGGGGTGATTGGGGAGTTGCTCCTGGTGAGTGGGGGGGAGGAAGATCAGGAGGATGAACTGGGGGAACTCTCATGGGCCCTGGCACACCTGTGATTCTGTTTGTTTGTCTCCTTCTACAGGTGGACAGGGTGATCAATGCCATCCTGCTGCACAGAGTCACATCCGCCTTGGAGATGTGGATGCCATCATCTCCGAGTTTGCCGACATGGGCTTCCCCAACTGTGGGGGGGCTATCGACGGGACCCACATCCACATCTGTACCCCCAACCATTAGGCATCACTTTATATCACTGCAAGGAATACTTCTTAGTGGTGCTGCAGGCTATGACAGACCATCAGGGATAGTTCATCAACATAAATGTCAGGTGGTCAGGGAAGGCACACGACACACATGTGTTTAGGAATTCTAGCGTGTTCCAGAAGCTGGACACTGGAATTTTCTTCCCTGACTGCACCATCAGAGTCGGGGATGTGGGCATGCCTGTCTGCCTGGTGGGTGATGAGGCCTATCCCCTCTAGCCTTGGCTCATGAAGCCATACACTGGCCACCTCAAACCCTTCAGAAAACAGTACAATGCCAGGATCAGCAGGGCCCACACAGTGGTAGAGGGTGCCTTCTAAAGTTTACAGTGGAAGGGCATCAGTGCATGTGGGGCCCTTGAGCAGAATCTTTGTTACAAGGTTAGACCCCATTTTCCCTCCCTTTCTGCTCAGTTACTTCCTATTACCCCATTTGTTCAAAGTTTGGGTCAGGGCCGGCCCGAGCCATTCGTGTGCCCGGCGCATGTGCGGCCCCACCCCCGGGGCACCAATGCATGCGCGATCCCGCCCCTGCCCGTAGCTTGGGCGGGTCTGGTTTGGGTAGAAAAAGGAAAGTACTTCTTCATAGAATGCACAGTCAACCTGTGGAATTCCCTGCGGGAGGATGTTGTAAAGGCCAGGACTTTAACAGTGTTCAAAAAAGAACTAGATAAATTCATGAAGGGTAGGTACAGGTACTGTGATATCGCAACCCCTCTCCCCAAAGGGGGTCAATAAGAACATAAGAACATAAGAACGGCCGTACTGGGTCAGACCAAAGGTCCATCTAGCCCAGTATCCTGTCTGCCGACAGTGGCCAGCACCAGGTGCCCCAGAGGGGGTGGACCAAAGACAACGATCAAGTGATTTGTCTCCTGCCATCTCTCTCCAGCCTCTGACAAACAGAGGCCAAGGACACATTTTATCCCCTGGCTAATAGCCTTTGATGGACCTAACCTTCCTCGGACAAACAGAGGCCAAGGACACATTTTATCCCCTGGCTAATAGCCTTTGATGGACCTAACCTCCATGAAATTATCTAGCTTCTCTTTAAACTCTATTATAGCCCCAGCCTTCACAGCCTCCTCTGGCAAGGAGTTCAACAGGTTGACTATACGCTGTGTGAAGAAGAACTTTCTTTTATTAGTTTTAAACCTGCTACCCATTAATTTCATTTGGTGTCCTCTAGTTCTTCTATTATGGGAACTAATAAATAACTTTTCTTTATCGGTCCTCTCCACACCACTCATGATTTTATAGATCTCTATCATATCCCCTCTCAGTCTCTTCTTTTCTAAACTGAAAAGTCCCAGTCGCTTTAACCTCTCCTCATATGAGACCCGTTCCAAACCCCTAATCATTTTAGTTGCCCTTTTCTGAACCCTTTCCAAGGCCAAAATATCTTTTTTGAGGTGAGGAGACCATATCTGTACACAGTATTCAAGATGTGGGCGTACCATAGTTTTATGCAGGGACAGTAAGATATTCTGGGTCTTATTTTCTATCCCTTCCTTAATAATTCCTAGCATCCTATTTGCCTTTTTGACCGCTGCTGCACACTGCGTGGAAGTTTTCAGAGAACTGTCCACGATAACTCAAATATCTCTTTCATGATTTGTCGTAGCCAAATGTAGGAAGTTGGTGATGGGTTTTGATAAATATCTTACAGGTATTATCCAAAGTGTGGGCTACAGTACAGGGGGGACCTCATGGTCAGGAGTTTGGGGTGTGGTTTTCTGATTCTTTTTTTAGAAGAAGCTTTTCTGAAATATGGCCCGTTTACATGGGGCCAAATGTGGGATAAACCTCCTCTTTCAGAAGAGCCCTAATTCCTCATAAAATGAGGAATACAAGACTTCCAAAAGAACATACCCGCTTTTTTGGAAAAAGCGGACGCGTTCCCGACTAAGTCAACATATATACACTTTTTTATAAGAATAACTCCTGTTCTTTGTATCTTATAGAAATTCTTTGTTGCCACAAATTCACTCAGCAATTCTAAAGTGCAAAGAGATAACTATTAGCTATCTAATCATTTCACCACCAATATGCTGATTCAGAAAGATACTTAAAAACATGCTCTACTTCAAGTCCATGAGAAGTCTCATTGATTTCACTGGGATTTCACACATTTAGGATCAAGTCCAATCAATCATTGGTTTCTGTATTTTAATGGTATCATAGTCAATGCTGAATGAGAGCTGAAAGTGGAATTCTCATTAAAATAAATGTTGCATCTACACAGATGAATGTCTTCTGAACAGTGCTATTACAGCGCATGTTTAATAAATTTGAAACACAGACTGAACACAGTGTTATTAAGACAAATGGGGCTAATCCAAATATTGAATCAGACTCTTCTTGCATCCAATGGTCCATTTAGTCATCTGAACAAGACCCTTTGTAAAATGTGGTCTGGTGTAGGTTTCTTGCTCCCATGAGAACATGTACATGCTGCACTTCTATATAATTATATATTTTTTTCCTTCTGAAGTTTCTTTTTGATGAAAATATGCATCCTGAGATAACAAGGGTACATTCCATTCATGTTGCTATCCTATATTTGGCAGATTATTATATGAAAACAGTGGAGATCCAGAGAACTGGAAGTTAGTGTTATGGCAAAATCATATGCTCTAATATGAAGCCTTAAAAGTGAACCTAGATGGTCATCTGAAGAAGTGGGCTGTGCCCACGAAAGCTCATGATCCCATCTACATGTTTTGTTAGTCTATAAAGTGCTACCAGACCATTTGTTGGTTTTTAAGTTTACCCTAGCATGTAATGTCCCTCTCATTCTAATTACTGGTTCTTTATGATTCTTTTTTCAACTCTACTCACAGGAAAGAAGGTACAGGTTGCACCTCCCTCACCATGTGCTCCTCTCCCCAGCCATCTGGCACTGGTGCCCTGGGCCTCTGGCTGTGGCAGCTCTGTGGGCTCCATGAGCTCCGGCAGCTCCAACAGCCCTGCCAGCACTAACACCCCAAGAGCTCTGGCAGTCTGAGGAAGCAGGGAAGTCGGTGGGACCACGAGCTCTGGCACTGCTGCCAGAACTCCCAGGACCACTGGCTTTTGTGCTCCACCACTGTGGGCTCTGGTCCTCATGGGCTCCACTGAGCTGCTGGGCCTGCCAACTGGCTCCGCTCCCAGCCTCCGACAGCCTCTGCTGCTGGGGCTCTTTAGTCCAGCAACATGCATGTTGCCAGACCAGAAAATTCCAGATCACAGAGGTTCAACATGTAGATACTGAAATATACTCTTTGTACCAGTGATGCTTTCTGAGATTTAATTAAAACTGCTTTATCCTTAAATATGGAGTGAATTCTGTCTGGAAAGAGATGTACAACAGTAGAAAGGGAGGAGGTAGATGATACGTATCATGTGTAGTGGACAAAAAATGTTAGTGTAACCCTATGATCATATTTAGTTTAAATATCTAAATCTTTGCAGGCCTAAACCTATCCCACATAACAACGGGAGCCTGTGAACATGGCCATTTTTCAAATGCATACAATCAGAGCCCTGAGTCTCACAGACAAAACTATAGGATGATTAAGACCAAAGAGTACAAGGTTTTCTTTCTTGAGGGAAACACTTTTCTTTATCAAATAGAGACATTTCCAGTCACAAGTCACCTTTATGTGTGATTTTTGTTAATTCATGACAACAATGACAAAAGTACAAGAGCTGAAATAACCATTATAATTTCTGGAGATCAAATGTAAAAAACAAAATTCTTCTATTTTTACGGCAATGAGCCTAATTAATCTGTGGTGCCAGATGCTTGAAAACAATGGAGCTGCAGTAGGGGCACATTTGACCCTTATAAACATGATTATGTCTTGTATTTTCCACCCTGCCAAAGCACAAATGTCTGAGAGAGTCACAAAATAAGGAACACAAAGAATAATCATGATGTGGGTTTAAACAGCTCTGTCTATAACTTCTGTTCCATGATTCTTTATTTCTGATGTAAATTGTTATCAGTGTCAAAAATAATGGGACAACATAAAGAACTTTGGGACTCAAATGAGTGATGGTCCTCAAAGTGAAAAACATTTCAGAGGAATTTGCATCTTGTGCATCTGTGGTGGGTATTTCAAAAGTACCAAGGTTCTCCCATTGATGTCAGGAGTTTTACTATTGAACATGGGAAATCAAACCCCAAAAGTAGTAACTGAGCCAAATTTTGCTCACATCAGTTGAATCATTGAAAGGTGTTACTGGTGTAAGGCAAGCAGGATTTACTATGCCATTTCTCCACCAATTTACACCATTGGCCCAGTTCTTCTGAGATATAAGAGAAACACCAGCTGAAGACGTGGCCCTTACTAGGGTCTAAAATGAGGACACAAATGCAAGTGGTGACAGCGTGATAGATCACCTTATATAATAGAGAGCTTTCAATTATTATTTTTTCCTGAAATTCATTATAGTAAATGTTCTACAATGGAAAAATAATAATAGTAGATTTGATTTTAATGATCTATAGTGTAAAAATAAAGATTTAAAAACAAAATTGCAATTGAAAGTGAGCTTCCAGTGCATCCAGGATGCTGTTAAATGAACCGTAGCTGTAATAGTCCTGGAGCTGACAAAACAAAATTCTAAAGCAGTTTTTTGGTAGTACTTTTTTAAAAGTTCCTATTGAATTATAATTATAATGCTGAGACTGCCATCTACTGGCTGCTTAGAAACCAAATAACAATAATAGCCCTGCACATCGACTAGTTAGGCGTAGAGAGCAACTAAAGTCTAAACCAGAGCTTGGCAACCTTCACCACACAGCCTATCAAGGTAATTTGCTGGCGGGCCAAGAGACATTTTGCTGAAAATGTCATACTTTTGCAATTTTATGATATAATTATAATTGCGCTTACATTATATAAATATTGTCCTTGCATTTCAGAGTATAATGCATCGTGCAATATAAACAAATCATTTTCTATGACATTTTAGTTTGTACTGACTTTGCTAGTGCTTTTTATGCAGCCTGTTGTTAACCTAGGCAAATGTCTAGATGAGTTGATGTACCCCTGAAAGAGCTCTGAGTACCCCCAAGGATATACACACTGGGGATGTAAAATCCCGTTTAATTGATTAACATTATACTACTCCGGTTAACAGATTAAAGAAGGGAAAGATGCTCTCCCTGCCATGGTTAAGAGTCTGTTCCAGCCCCTACTGTTTAACCAGAACCGGAAAGCCTCAACCATTAAGGTTAACTGATTAACCATGCATATCCCTAATACATACCCCTGGTTGAGAACAACTGATTTATACTACAAATAATAACAACATTAGATGCTATATATAGATACCAATCCATGAAACCACTTGTATGGTAACTCCCCTTGATTTCAGTGGGACTTCAGCAGGTATGCACATGCTTGACTGATTTCCTGAATTAAGGATAGAAAAGAACAGATGGTGACATATTGACTGTCAGGAAAACAGCCAGCTTCACAAGAGCATTTGCATTTCATTTAGTGAAACAAAGAGTTGTGAGCCACTGGAACAATGGAAGCGTGCCTCTGCTTTCATCCTAGTAAAAGGTTTTTTAGAAAGTCCTTTTACTGTGAGAGTGAAGAGGAGTCAAATCTAATCTCTCTCCAGAGTTCAAGGAAAATGGATATCCTGGCATTCTGCCTTGACTGGAATACCTCCCTACGCAGAGCTTGCACACTAGGAAAAAGCACCCAGCAAGAAAGTAAAGCATGAAATACACTCCTATCTGCACAATTGTTGATTGGGCAGAGAATCCGAGCAAGCCAATGTTATTCTTGGTAGGCGATATTTCCTGACAAAAACACAAAGCTCTTCAGCCTGATGGCCAAGAGTAATGCTCAAGACCCAGTCTCGTTATCTTAGGGTGTGTCTAAACTACAGGGTTTTTTCGAAAAAAGTGGCCTTTTTCCGAAAAAACTTCCCCTGCATCTAGACTGATGCCACGTACTTTCAAAAGTAAATCGAAAGAACGTGGCACTTTTTTCGACCATGGAAAACCTCATTTTACGAGGAATAACACCTTTTTTCAAAAGTGCTCTTTCGAAAAAAGGTGCTATGAAATGCAAACTGTGCTTTTTCAAAAGAGAGCATCCAGACTGCCTGCGTGCTCTCTTTCAAAAAAGCGGCTTGCTTTTTTGAAAGTACTGGCTATAATCTAGACACTCTTTTTCGAAAGAGACTTTTTTGAAAGTATCTTTCTAAAAAGCCTCTTTGGAAAGAGGCTTGCAGTCTAGACATAGCCCTATTGTTTATAGTAGATATAAATAAAACGTGCTTTCGGCATTTTGTTTTCTAGAATCAAAACCAACCATTGACAGTTGAGGTCAAAGCATTGTGGTTTCTCACTTTCCGTTTAATTTCCAAAATAGTCCTTATCTTTGTTCATCATGTGTTCTAATTTGCTAATCTGAGATATGGAATATGAAATTTCATTTAGAAATGCCCCTAGAGCACTTAACTACCAAATTAGAGGCATTTAACTACCAAAAGCACAGCCTAAATAATAACAAGGAAGAGACGAACTGCATGTATAATATGGTTCACGTTCAAGGTTTGAAGTGGTAGCCAACAATTTTTCTGCTTCTCAATCTAATGCAGGTTGGACCTCCCTGACCTGGCATACTTGGGACCTGAGTGGTCCTGACTCGGGGAGTTTGACGGTCCAGGGGAAGTCAATTATGGCACCCTGCTGCCAGTCTCCAGGCTCTCCCAGGAGGCTGCTAGCCTCCCAGCCATCAGACTCCCCTCCCAACTGCCAGCCCCAGCCATGCTCCCAGTCCTGGCCCCAGCCCTGGCTGCACTCTCAACCACTGGCCCCAGCAATGCCCCTGACCCCAGCCACGAAATTGACTGTGCTTCCAGCCCCAGCCATGTTCCCAGCCCAGCTCTCAGCCCTGGCCACAGGCCCTGAATGTACTCTCGGCCCTGGCCGCAGGCCTGGCTCCACTCCCAGTTGCCAGCCACTCTGCTACCAGTCCCAGCCCCGGTCCCAGCTGCTGGGGCTCTTCTGATCCAGCAGCATTCATGGTCCAATAGGACCATAGATGTTGCTTAACCAAAGAGTCCTGGACCAGAGAGGTTGTACCTGTACATTAAGCTTGTATCTTGCTAGAACCCCCCTGCAAAATATACAAAAAGTGAATCTTAATTACATTATTTAGTTCACTGAAATACTTGAATACATACAATAGCATGTCCCTTTGGCATGCTTGCATTGTAGTGGATGTGTTTTGTAAATGCCCGTTATGCACATTTAAGCTAGAATTAGTATGTTTTTTCTTCAAGGAGAGGAACACATTTTCAGTGTATGTGTGTATGCATCTTCCATTCATATTATAGAAAGTTACATACACACATGCATGTAGGAAGAATAAACATTTTATTATTCAATATTGGCATTCCTTACTATCAGATTTTCAGAAGCATATGGAAAATAGTGGATTCTGTCCCATTTCTAAACCATATCATAACACCATCTGTACAATTAGAACCCAGATTGGCAGTTTCAACAGACAGAGAACTGAGTGGGCAAGGAATCTTAATTTCCTTTCCACACTTGGATATAGGAAAGTGTATCATAATCCATGGAACTGGAGTCACAGCCTATGTTCCTTGATGGGGCAGTTATTGATGGAACACTAGGGAACGCAGGAAGTTGGGCAAGAAGCAATTTATATGGACAGAGCAGTCCACAGATTTAATAAAGTTCCAATTGTTCAGTTGACCTGTATTCAGCTTATTTCTTTACTAATGAAACAGCATGGACTGATGTGTATTCTGTCAGAGGGAGAGCCTTGTGCCACTACTGTACTTGTTTTTTACATTTCATTCTCCAGTGCTGGTAATCTGACAACTTTTACAAGCACTAAAGTTCATTTTTAAATAATACATTAAAGAAACACAGTTAGTCTCCCCATTAGGACTTTAATGATCCAATGTATCTGCATATTTAGAATAATAAAATCAGCCAAATCCAAACTACATTCTTATTAAAGCCTAGAAATGGACTCAGCTTCAACCAAAGTCTAGCTAACTCCTGACCCCTCCCCCCCAATAACAGGATTCAAATGTAAATGTTTCCAGTACAGATGCTGGAACTAGGGGGGGAGGTGCTGCAGCACCTCTTGGCTTCAAGTGGTTTCCATTGTGTTCAGGGTCTCCAGTTTGGTTGAACGGCCTTCAGCACCCCCACTATCAAAATTGTTCCAGCACTTCTGAATTCCAGTTCTTCCCAGAGAATGGGGTCATTTTAGGCAACCTGAACAGTAGTAATGATGTAAGTGGCATGACACCCCATTGATTCTATAAAGAATTCATTTGGAACAGAGAATTCATTTCGTACCCATCCCTGCACATGTTTTTGCACATGCTGGCTGCCTCACTGCTCCCTGGGCAGGACATGTGGTAGGCAGCTGCCCCATGAGCTAACCAGTCCCTTAGGGTTAGAGCTACAGCCAGGGCTGCATAGTGGCTGCCCAGCTGCTCCTGGGGCAGGGCTGCATGGCGGGCAGCTGCCCTGTATACTGGTGTGATCCTTCCCCAGGGCTGGAGCTGCAGCCAGGGATGCGTAGTGGCTGCCCAGCTGCTCCCTGTGCTGGCTGCATGGTGGGAGGCTGCCGAAGCTGGAGACGGGCTGTGGTGCAGCTGCTCCTGGGGCTGGGGCCCTCTGCATCCCTCTTTCCCCCTCCTGTACCTCTTTTCCCCTCTCAAAGCTCTCTGTCCCGTCCCCCAGCCCTCTGCTGGCTCCCCCTCTCTACTCCGCACATATCACTGCCTCACCCTCAGCACCTCATTTCCTCCAAATCCTGGCCACTGGTAGCAGCTTCTCTCTGCTCCTGGAGGGGATTCACAAACAGCCCTGTGAGGAGCAGCCCAGGGCAGCCTCTGCCCTGCACACAGGCTGCCCTGGGAGTAGCGCTCTCTGAGGGGGCACGTCTCACCTTCCTCCCACGACTTGGGGGGGGTGGAGCACTACCTGGGAGCAGGGCTCGGGATCTCTGCACTGGGAAAGCCTCTCATGGAGCAGTGCCACTGGCGGGTGCCACAGTGGCACACATCCAGACAAGCACACATGACCTCATTGTTGGTGCACAAGACAATACTCACTCTGCTCATGGATGGAAAATCTTGAAGAAAAACACTGGAGAGGGAAGTCAAACTCTGTCTTGGAGAACCCTGAGTGCAGGAGAAATCGTGTGGCTGGGCAGCCTGGCCTGGAGTAGGGCGGTGGAAGCAGCTCAGCACCTCTTGCTTTTCTGACTTCACATTCCCTTGCCTTAGGAGGCCTCACTTCATTGGCTGAGGAAAAGAAGGGTGAGCTTGCTTAGTTATATAGTAGATCAGGGGAAGTGACCTGCAGCAACCCCAGTTTCAATCTGTGGTACAAACATCTGTGACTCCAGAACTGTTATTCTGTATGGTTCCTATATACACAGTGCCCAGAAACTGGCTGAAGACTCTAGACTACTAAACATGACATTATTCTAAATTGGACTAAACATGGACAAAACAATTGTCTCTTTTGGATTGCTGAGATATTGTCTTCGACCAATTTCAAATAATGGACATCGACAATATTTATCTTCTACTGGGAAACTTTGCTGCCCCTCACTTGTGTGTGATTCAAATGGCAGGCTGATCACAAATATTAATATTCATACACATTGTACATAGAAAAATAAATGATAGTATTAACCTGCATTCACACTCTCACACAGACCCAGAAAACACAAGGACATCTAATAAGATAGTAAATGATGATTTTCAAAAAACAAAACAGTTGTACTAACTAGGGCCTAGAGAACAGCCAGTTAAATTCTCTGAACAATGTAGCGACTGCCTGGGACCCAGCAGGTGGAGTTAGAAAGCAGAAGTAAACAAATGGCATAGTGAAATGCAATTGCAGAAGATGTCACCTTGATGTATATCAGCTGAAATGAAACATGACAGCCATGCACTGACCGAAAAACTTGGAGAGCTTGTTCTGCCTCATAAGTCCTAAGAGTACAAAGGCCACTCAGATTAAAGCTTTTGGAAAGCGAAGGCAATGTGTAAACTTTACCGGGCCATTGCTCGGTCACAGTGTTTGTGCTGGGTTTGAAAACTGTTTCTTATTACACTGGAACCCTCAGACACAGAGCAAAGGGCTCAAGTATCCAGTGAAAGATAAAATGGAAAAATTGTTAACAGTACTGTTAAACACACAGATCTTGGGCCATGTGTGCAGAGATCCAACTCTTCCCTGCTGGTCCCCTGAGTTCCTAACCCCAGGCAACATGGCTAACTCTTTATGTCCTGTAAAAGCTCAGATGCAGCACTGCACGTATGCCCCACTCTTGGAGAGGTGACAGGAATGGAAACTAGTGTAATTAAACTGTATGGGAAACCCCAGTATTGTACTTAATGTATATGTATGGGTTTCCTAGGCATAAAAAAGGGCAGACTTGCAGAAAGCCATCAGAAAAAGTGAGGGACATTTGAGGACTGAAACCAAGGGGGAAATAGTCTTTTCCAAATCAATCATGAAGACCTTTTATTCTGTGCTTCTGCCTGAGCAGATCAATAGAGGTTACAAATGTTCAGAATAAGGGAATAAATAACACCTGAAATTCACTGTTTAAAAGGCTAACAGTTTGGGCATACATCCAGGATTAATAAAAAATAAATGAAGTATTTACACTGTGAGTAAATCATTCTTGGGGATTTTTTTTTTTTTTTTTGGCCAGAATTATAAGACTTTAGGCATTATTATAAGTAGCACATTCAGGGTTTGATGCAGCACTGTGTTATTTCAGTTTTACCACCAGTGTAATCTATAGGTAAAATAGTCTATCAGACTCAAGACCTGTAAAGTGAGGAAAAAAGGGAATATTAAGTGTAGTGGTCTTTAACACTAATATGTTTATTAATTATATTTATTAATAATAATTATTAATTATTATTATTTATTATGTCTAGGTGCTCATTGTGCTAGGCACATTGTTGAGAGCTTTTGCAATTTTATCATGAGTCCTGTGATATTTGTTACTTTTTTTAAGCCCCCAACTCATGCAGTCAGATGATTACTTGAGAATCTCAGCATTCATTTAAAAACAGAGTTGATCTCTAGCCCTTGCTGTTGGTAAGAAAAGCTTGAAAACTTGAATAATTATGGCTCAAACCAAAGTTGGCCAATAAAAATAACCCACATTTTTTTTCAAAACCACCTCATGTTTTTTTAAACCACATCTCACAATTGGGAACAGTGGCATGATTTTTGAATATGTTGGCAATACCATAGACACTGCATGTACACCTAGCATAGAGACAGTCTCGGAACCAAACAGTTCACACTTTTCACTGCATATATAGTGAAAGAGTTAATGTAATTTTACTATTACCTGTAGCCTGGTAAATCCTAAGATGACAGTGGGAGCATTGCAGGGGAATCGCTTAAATAATGGTACCAGAGACTAACATGGAAAAAACAAGACAAACCAGTAGCGTAGATCTGCCTCACTGATTTAAAAGCTCCTTTTACTGGATTTATAACTGAGGTTGTTAACTGCTGTGCTCAACTACAAAAAGTAATGAGACAATTAAGGTAAAAACTAAGGGAAGAGGGAGACAGCTTGGCTCTCATTGTAATTTACAGCTTGTAAATCCATTGTGAGATTGTTACCACCGCTATTTAATATTTTAAGTAAGTTCAGTTACTGGATTTTGAATCTGCTAATTAATCCAATGGAATGGAGGGAGCTGCTAGTTACTGTAATAGAGTGCTCACTCTACTCCAAAAATTAAAGCCCTGATTCTCATTTGTGCAGAGGCCAGTTTACACCACTCTGGCACTGCAGAGGGGCTGAAAAGAGGAGTACTGTCGGCTGGCATTAGCCTAAATGAGAAGCAGGCTCCAAGCATTTAAAAATGTTTGTATCCCTTTAAAAATTACCTCCTTGTTTATATACAAGATGCATATTTCTTTTAAGATGCCTAGGGCATAAGAACATAAGAACAGCTGTACTGAGTCAGACCAAAGGTCCATCTAGCCCAGTATCCTGTCTGCCGACAGTAGCCAGCACCAGGTGCCCCAGAGGGAATGATCAGAAAAGGGGATCATAGAATCACAGAATACTAGAACTGGAAGGGACCTCAAGAGGCCATCAAGTCCAGTCCCCTGCCCTCACGGCAGGACCAAGCACTGTCTA